TTGAAATGGTAATAGTTTGAACACTGGGGGAAGTTCTGAAATTGAAGAATGCAAATCTGCAAGGCTAGGCAGTCAAAGCAATGTAGTGGGTGAAGTTAAGCTCATCATTAAACTCTACAACCAAGTTCCTGACTGACTTGCATGTTGTTAGTGTTATTCAGCCCAGCTGGACTGTGATGTTTTGTGGAATTGCCAGGCTGGCTGAGTTGCATATATTGTGTATATTGATAAGAAAAAGGGGGCCAGGCATCGAGCCCTGAGGTACGCCTGTCATTAGCTAGTGTGATTTAGACACCTCCCTAGAGTGGTTTCCATCTGATGTCCTACAATGTGTTTACTGCAAATATGAGCCCATTGTGCAAACTTAGGGGAACAAATTTTGTGTGCTGTAAGTGAAATAAAGATTTGTCATGTTGGACATCTGTACATTACTAAATGCACAATAAAAGCATTAAACATTTATTCTGACAGGTGCATGTATCAATTGATTTTCTTAGCTGTATTTTATGACAGGTCTTTATTGTCATGTTGAATCATCATATCCCTATATTTTATCTTACAAGAACAGTAAATTAACTTGCATCTAATGTCATTACAGTAATGAATTACAGTATGGTTTCATTGGGGAGGCTTCAGCAGCTTGTTTAAAAAGAAAACAAACAGTGTAACAGCAAGTATGCTCTTGGAAAAGGCAAAAGTGTGGTGTATATGGGATTGGGGATAAATTTGATCGAATGCTATAGAGGAGGCACCTCTTCTGACTACCCATTTTGCATGGAATGTCTTGCCACTGTTTTGGTCAGCAAGATCTATGGATGGCCAAAGTGCTGCTCTTTGGGACAGGATCTCAGAAAACAGGAAGGGATTACAGCTGGCCTGAGCTGATATCATAGCTTTCTCTCTCCTCTCTCACTCCACCGCACTTAGCAAAAATTAACAAAAAAAAAAACAAAGGCATATGAGAACACCAGTGGAAAGAATGTGTCAGAGTTTGAATTCAGAGCAGGAGTCAGTGCCAGAGATGACCTTCCCCTTCTGAAAACTCAAACCTACCTGCAGCTAACAGGACACAGGGGTGGGGCTGCACAGATAATTGAAATGAACTGTAAATGTTGTCGACAACTACTGGAATAGGGCACATTATGTTGCACAGCAAATTTGGTGTGATGCTGACAGGATTAGCAGGCTCATTTCAAACTTGCATTACAACAACTTTTGAATTATGAAATTTTAAGGCACCCTGTTGGTTAAAGGGGTCATATGATGCTATTTTAAAGATCATTATTTTGTGTATTTGGTGTAACAGAATATGTTGACATGCTTTAATGTTCAAAAAACACATTATTTTTCAAATACTGTACATTATTGTAGGTCCTCTATGCCCCGCCTCTCTCAAACGCCATCTGGGTTGTGCTGTTCTGTTGTAAATAAATCTTAACCAATGATTCCTAATTGCATCTACTTCCAGAAGGCCAAATAAAGTTCTTTTGCTTTCGCACTGAAACACACAGCGTCTCCCTGACATGGCTGCATCAACACTACTGCTGTTCCTGAAACCACGCCTTTTTTCTTTGCGTGCACATTTGGGCAGCATTATGCTAATGTTTCCACATAGTGACGTAGACATGTGGGGGCATGTTAGAACGAGCCGTTTTAGGTAGGCGTGGTTGACTCTTAACTTTTATAAAGAATATCTCTTTGGATTTGAGACTTTAGTCTTTGCAACTTTACAGATCTTCCTTATGCACCAAGAGCTTGTAACACTCCAAAGAGAAAGGAAAACTTGAAACCGCATCATATGACCCCTTTAAAAATGCAACAAATACTTTTCAACTGATTGGCAAGAAATTCCTTGAATATTTACACTCATGTTCCAAATCTGTGTCTTACTTTCTTACATGCAGGGATGAGCACAAATACATCATAAATTACTTTGTTACAAATTACAAATATTTGTTCATCAAATGTATTTAATTTAAAATACAAAATAGTGGTGAGAGAAATTTATTTAATTAAAATACAAGTAATTTGTAATTTGAAAATACAAAAATACAAACAATAATTACAAGCAACCATTTGAAGTGCAAGAGACAGTGCCATTACATTTAGCAATACTGGAGTCAGATACACATATAAGAAAAAGAGAAGTGCTTTCCCCTCCTTGAACAACTTATAAACAACATAATTTAACCCTAACACTAGACAATATATCCAATATACTGATCCATATTTCTTCTAATTTCTTATGTTCACTTAAGACACAACCGACTGTGTTTACTTGAATACCTTCAAGCATGTCTACGCTTTATTTTTTCATGTTTCTTTATCGCTCCTTTATCGTTTCTTTATCAGCATTTCAAAAATTAAGCAGTCCTGCGAAACAGTATTGTCATACCGCCTAATCCTGCTCAAGAGGATGGCTCAAACTATTTAATTGTCAACAGTACAGATTAACTCCTAAAAATGCTGATATGTAGCTGTTGAAGGGCTCTATGTAGAATTCAGAAACCCTTGTTATTAGCGACACCGGTGGCCGTTAAGTGAGCTGTAGTCAGCAACTTATTGCTCATGATCTTGCACACACTCCATAGTAATGCGAGCGATGGCCAATGTGATTCACCGACATCAGGTTCATTAAAATTACTGTTATGATAGTTTCCCTTGAATTTTCCCAGCGAGTCCTTCACATAAAAATTAGTCTACAGGCTGCAATTTTTTAAGTTTCGTTGCATGCTGTTCACACATTGGCAATAAAAAAACGATTAATACTTGAAAATTCTTTCATAAAGCCCCTTTAAATATTTAATTTTGTCCATAGAAACAAGTAGCTAACTTTAGCTAGCTAGCTAACGTCACTTGTCAGCTAGCAAGCATAGTTGTAGAGCACAGCTTTTCCTTCTGTCCTGTAATAACATTCAGTGAGCAATATCTGATATGAAGATGAGTATATATTTTAGTACATAATTAGCCAGTTTGAACTGAGCACCAAAACAGCCTCTTTCATTGTTGTTGATGTTGTTGTTGTTTTTTCCAGTTGGAAGATGGAACCATGATGGAGTAATTAAAGGGATGGTTCACCCAAAAATGGAAATTCTGCCATTAATTACTCACTCTCATGTCGTTTCACACCCGTAAGACCTTCATTCCTTTTCCAAACACAAATGAATATATTTTTTTATGAAATCCGAGAGCTTTCTGTCCCTCCATAGGCAGCAACACAAACTTACACATTCAAAGCCCAGAACGGTAGGAAAGACATTGTCAAAGTAATCCATGTGACTCCAGTGGTTTAACCTCAATTACATTTAGCGACGCAAGTGCTTTGTTTGCCTAAAAAAAACATTATTTATTTATTTATGAAAATATTGATCTGCATTGTGCGTTCATGAGAGCATCACAATGCATTTGTGTTGTGTTTACGCGATAGAATACTCGTCGACACAACGCACATGAGTGAGTGTTCACTAGAGTACCACAACGGATGTGTTTGGATATTTTCGTAAATAAAGTGGTAAATTATGTTTTGTTTTTTGCGCAAACAATGCACTCCCATTGTTCATGAAATTAAATTGCTTGATGTACTTAATGACATGGAGTACTTTAATGATGTCTTTCCTACCGTTCTGGACCTTGAATGTGTAAGCTGCATGGCTGACTGTAGAGGGACAGAAAGCTCTCGGATTCATCAAAAATATCTTCATTTATGTTCAGAAAATGAATGAAGGTCTTACAGGAGTGGAACGGCACGAGGGTGAGTAATTAATGACATAATTTTAATTTTGGGGTGAACTAACCCTTTAAGACTCCGCCTATGGATCCAACAGGATGTCATATGATTCATTTGCATCTAGCCAAAAACTATGATAGGCTATAGCTGGCAGTTCTATTAACACAGGTGAAGAAAGGTATTGTATTATCGGATAATAAAATAACCTACTTGATAATGTATTTTAAGTATTTCAATTCTGTCTCTCAGTGTATTTAATTACAAATTACATTAGATTTTTTTATTTTATTATTTATTTTTGTCCAGCAAAATACAAATTACAAAATACATTAAATACATTTAGTTGAAATACTTCCGATCTCTGCTTACATGGAGCACAAAAGCAAAAGGAAATGTAAGGCTAAAAATACAACCTCAGTCACCTTTTTCTTTTTTTTCATTGTATGGAAAAAAGATGCAATGAAGGTGAAAGGTGAGGCTGTCATTCTGCAATTTGGGTTCTTTTATAAAGAGTACTTCTTATGGAAATAATATACTTTAAATAAATATACTTCAGTGTGATGTTACAGACACTTAACTGCAAGTTAATTTCAATCAAATGAAAATGCATTATAGTTTAAATGTATATTAAATGCAATCAGCTGAACTTAAGAGTGCTTTTTGACCCACTTATGTAGGACTTAGCTACAACTTTAGATGCAACTTGATCCTGTAATGCTGTCTATTGTCTTTGAACAAAGTGTATTGTTGGATGTACTGACCAAGCAATTATGGTAAAATAAAATACTTGTGTGTCATGCATTTAAATATATTTGTAATTACACTTAATATTGTAATGAAGTTGCAATTTTAACAATTAAAATATATCAACTAATATCAAATAGCACATATTACAGTTCAAATTATAATCAAGTGCTTTACGTGTGCTTTAGTATGTTAACACATCAAAATAAGGGTACTTATTTAAAGCACAATAAAAGATTATTAAAACATTATTCAAAAATGTACTTTAAAGCACAACTTCCTAATTGACATTATTACCAAGTACATGTTTTAAATGTGTACTTAAGTGTGTTAAGACACATGAAAGTGTACTCTCTTTAAGTACTCTTAAGTGGCCTTTTATTAAGTAGTTATACTTTTAACATTTAAACACTACAAGTGCACATTCATCAGTACAGTTAAACTTTTTCACAAGGGATCCCTTTGACTACCATGTAGTATGTTATACTGTAATCTAGCACACGTTAATGTCTCTCTTCTCTGTGAATAGCAGATTACAACAGCAGTGATCAGAAGACCGCCTGCAGAAAGCATGAACTGTACGTCAGCTTCAGAGAACTGGGCTGGCAGGTAAAGATGAAGGATATGTGCATGCTCAATATTACAAATCTCAAACTGGAGCAGCCTTCAGTGGAAAACAAACGATTAATTATCCTGAACGAGTGTTGAATCTAGTTTATGATTATTTCTTAATGTGAGCAGCCTTTTTGATTTAAATATGTGTGTTTGTCAGGACTGGATTATTGCACCTGAGGGTTATGCAGCAAACTACTGTGATGGAGAATGCTCATTTCCCCTAAACGCTCATATGAATGCTACTAATCATGCTATAGTACAGACACTGGTGAGTCATGATTAATAAAACAAACACCAGACCTAGGAGAACAAGTATCACCGCAGTGAGTGTAAAAGATATCTTGCTCCACTTTTCAGGTCCATCTAATGAATCCAGAGAACGTTCCGAAGCCATGCTGCGCTCCCACCAAACTGCATGCAATCTCCGTGCTCTACTATGATGACAACTCCAACGTCATTCTGAAAAAATACAAGAACATGGTGGTGCGCACATGCGGCTGCCACTGACACAAGGGACACGTGCCGGCCTGCCCAACTGCTGCACTGCAGAGACAGAGACAAATGTTTGTGAGGACTGACGAAACAAAATAAGGCAGACAAAAAGCAAGCATTATGAACAAATGTGAGAGAATGTCTTGACGGTGGATCCAGGTTTGCTGCTTCTCATCTTTCCACACATGGCCATTTGACGTGACATTTCGGATCCTACAAACTGCCAAGAGGATGTTCATGTGAATCTATAAACAGAAAATGAACTTGATGCCTCAAGTCTAAATCAAAGACACAAAGAAAATGTAAATTGTGAGCTAAAATGCTGTATTTAAAAATGTGTCACTTACCAAATATTTAAAGGGGGTCGCATCACGTTATAATTTCATTTTCTGAGGTTCACTTGTGTTATAAAAAACAGTCAAAACAATTCTTTGTGACTATTTTCCACCCTCACTCTGACCCTTGGAATTAAATGGGATACTTTTTGCTGCTGTGCCTTTAGGACTAGACTTTGTATCTTTCTGATGTTTGACATTTCTAGAAGTTCAGAACAAATCATGTTTTTTGCAACTTTCAGGAACTTCCTCCCTAATATAAATAGACGATTTGAGTTCTGAAAGTTACAGTAGCTCTTTTATTTCAAAAGAAACTTAGATTCCTCATGATATGACCTCTTTAAGATTTTAAACTTATGAATTACTTTGTCCCAAAGCACAGAAATCACAACAGGATATTTTTTTTTACTGCTTTCTGTATTTTTGATGAAGTCACTTAAACCCACAGGACTCTATTTTGGGTCTCAAAAACTCAAATTATTTTAAGTTTCTCAATATTTGCTCTGCACTACCTGTGGTTTGCATCAGTGAGTCAGAGCGAGTGGTTACACACTTCAACAGAACTCAAAGAACGGAACCATTATACTGCCGTTCCAAGGATGGAACTTTTATTTGATGCCGTCTGACACCACAGATCTATAATTTCCCTGCAACACCTGCACCTCGGATGGCTTACATCCAAAACTTCCCTTAAGACACGAGGACCTACAAATAATTTGTTTTTCAGCAACAAAATTTTATTCTTTGCCATCGTCCTCACATGGGCTGTAGATTTTGCACAAGCTCATGTCTATTTACTGTCAAACTTTTAATATGCAGCTGTCCATTTATTTATATTTTTTCCCACTGTGAGCCGCTTAATGGTACAAAACTCTCTCTGGACAGAGTATATATATATATGTGTCTATTTTCATAATTATAGCAATATCTTTTGTTTTTCCCTGGTTTGTAATTTGGGAATCGATAATCGCTTAAATTTTTTAATACGAATACTGAAACCAAATAATTTGGTTACATTTATAGTTTTGGAACATCATTATTCTTCCACTGATGTGAATGGAACGCTTCAGAAAATATGCTAATTTTAACGCTGTTTGCACTCCCATTCATCTCACTGACACAGGACCCCAACAGACCAACAGGATCATGCCAACCAGCCAAACCTTGACTACCTGGTTCACACTGACATGGGTCACATCACTAGTTGGTATTAGGTTGTACTATTGGTTGCCAGTAGGCAATTCTAATCAGCTGTACTCAAATTCCGCCCCAAGAATTGGTTCTGAGGGTCCAATTATTGTCAACTTTTTACAATTCAAATCCTTAATTATATCACATACCTCCCACAAACTGCTGTTTACATGTGTCAACCATTTTTGGATGCTTGTGTGTAAATACTTGTACATTTTACAGTTTATTTATTGTTCCTTTTATGACTCATATACCACAGAGATCATATAACAAGAGTAAAGAAAAAATTAAAAACTGCTATTTTTGGAAAAAGACAATTTATTATGAAATTTGTCACAATGTGCCTTTTTTGTACAAAACCCCCCACGCAGTGAGTGTACCCCTCTCACACAGGACAAAAATACTGCGTTTTTCACTGAGGTCGGCCTTGCCCATGTGCCTCTCATAAAGACTCCACTGAATATATGCGGTTTCTCTGATTGCTTTTCCCTTCCTTCTCTTCCAGATCCAGTAAAATAAAAAAAAATAAACATATCGGTGTGGAAATATTTGAAAGGAAATATGTAAATTACATTTGTTTAAATCAATGAAGCCAGTGGAGAGCATCAGAGAAGACATACAACTCTTATCAGTGTTCTTCAAGAAATGATACCGGGCCACGCTAGTGTCTGAATTTCACCACCACAAAGTGTTTTAAGCAGTTCACTAATAACATTGAAAGTGGTTGACTGCATGTGAAAGCCATCAAGAAAGCATCACGGAGGGGAAAAAAGTTTCTAACAGTCTAAAAAGACAAATCTAATCAAAGGAATAATGACGGGAAAAATAAAAACAAAAAAGCTACATCTGCAGAATAAACAATAAGGAAAAAATACTGTACCATAACTCCTTTAACGTTTCACAACCTCTAATGTACTTCAAAGTAAACCGTATTTCCATAAACTGTCACTATACAGCAAATATGATCGATTTTGCATTTTTACCTTGCTGAGTATTGAGAAATAAAATTGTAAATTTAATTAAATAAAAAAAAAAAAAAGTATTACCGTATATAATGGCATTAGGGATCTGATATGGCTCTGCTCCATTCATATGCCTATAAGAACACCAAGAAGCTTTATAAGACAAATTAACCAAAAGTAGTTAAACAAATGCCATCCTTACTGAAGAAATCTGGTTAAACCAGCCTAATGTGGTTTGCTGGCCATTAAGCTGGTTAAGACTGGCCTGGTTTGATACTTATGGCACACCATCTGAACCTTGGCTGGTTTAAGCATGTCTCCCAGTTTGACTAACAAACTACCTTAGCCTGGTTGATTTTATTTTATTTTTTAATCCTCTGAACAACACAACCTATTCAAAACCTGAAGACCACAACAGAAACATTTGAAACCCCAATAGAAAGACCACGTATGTGGTCAAAGTGCTGTTTGCAAGTGTGTATCATATAGTATTTTATACTGAATGGAGTAAAAGGGAAATCACAGCAGGTACATGTCATTGTTTTCTTAAATGGTACATGGTCTCCCTGAGGTCATATTTTCTTATTGGATAGCAAACTAAGCTGAATTCCCTCAAATATAACTGACATTTGACATTTACGAAATATGCACCTTAAATGATGTAATGATCTTAATGGAAGTGTCATTTTCTTTACATCATACAGCTGTTCTTTTAAGGGAGAAAGGGCAAAATCAAAAGTCTGTGGTTGTAATTGCTAATAATCTCATCAACTGGTCGAGATGAAATCATGTACATTCACATTTTATCAAGTGGAAGAGATGGTCCTCACTTCAGCAGGTGAGGGACAGAAATGAAGAAAAAGCAGTCTGTTTGTCAGTATGGTAAATGTAGGTAGTGTTGCTTTGTGGAGGATGTGTTGTGAGATGGAAGATAAGGGAGGAGTTACAGCTCATCTCTCGCTTGTTTCATTACAAAACTGTGCAAACTCTCTAAGTCCCGCCCACCATTATGCTCCTCCCCCTGTTGCCCTGCCCGGAACATCAGGAGAGTTGGGTATCCACGCACCTATAAAAAACAATGATCAAATATTTACATACATTTTGACTGTGTGTAGTAATTAAACATGAAGCCAAGCCAAAACTGCATCCAGTCTGAGTAGCTACTAGGGCTGGGCGATTTTTTCGATTTTATCGATTAATTCTAATTTAATGTTTTGCCACGATTTTATTTTTTATAAATCGAGGAATCACAGTTTTGAATAGAAATATTACCAAATGTTAGAATTAGACACACTGACAATATGCCAATGTTAACAGTAAAGAGAAAACGATGACCCAACCGCATGTTGCGCACGTGATTAACCACTCACGTGACTCGCTCGGTGAAGGACCATAAGGTGCCATTCACACAGAATGCGCGTTTGTGTTGACAAAGATGCGACGCGGGCAGTGGAATAGGAAAAAATGCAGGAAGATGGGAGATGAACTTCTTTTAACTTGAGCGCCGTGTTTTTATAATGCCGTTTCATGCATGAGACGCTGCAAGAGACACGAGCACAACAGTCAAACGCCTCCATGTCTACATAGAAAAAACAATGGAAAAGCAGGGTAACCGAATAAAAACCTGTAAAGAACTACTACTGTATGTATGATATTTCATGTTTGCATCATGAGGACCGGCTGAAAGCTGCTGTTCAGTGTTTTTACAAATCATTTATTGTTAGTCTACTGGTGTTATACCAGTAGTTACATTTTCAAGTTGACTACTTAAAAATCGTAAAAATCGAGAATCGGTCAAATGTTCTGAAAAAAATCGTGATTTTATTTTTTTTGCCACATCGCCCAGCCCTAGTAGCGAATACATTTCATTTGGAATAAACTTTGTGAAAGGAAAAAAAATATGTTGTTTATAGCATGAATGTAAGTTGTCTAAACAAAATCTGGATGTACTATATCCACTATGTTGGCTTTGCCATGTGACCTTCTGATTTTCGTCGTTTCACTGCCATTCACAACTCAGGGATAGTAATGTGTGAAAAGGATACACACTTCAAAATGTCAATGGAAGTAGTAGGTCACACCATATGTAGAGCGCTCCAAATAATTCAAGTTATGAGGTTCCGTTTATGTTTGTTTGTATATAAATATAAATCTAAGTTATATAAAATTAATAAAAGTAGGCTTCTTGTTGTGTTATCTGTATATGCAGTGTATGCAGTAAAAAAAGGACTCTTAGCTAAAAGCTTTATCAAATGTACTAAAACAAAAATCATTAATGGAAGGATTTGTAACGAGAATCTTTAGACAGAATGGAACTGTAATCTGTATAGAAACATTTGTTACATTTCCCATTCATAGTAGACAGCAAGGCAGCACACTAGTTTTTTGGAACAGGCTAAAGAATGTCCTGATTTAAAAAAAACTCTCTGCCACTAATATGAAGTTATGTTGACCCCATCCCTCAAACATCCACAATCCACAAGACTTAGTTACTCTCCCTGCCACCCATCAGTGGATTTCCAGACTAAATGAGCTGCACTCACAGAGTATCTGTTGCAGAGCGTTCTCTCCACGGTGCAGTCCACTTTAGCAATCTTCACATCAGTCAGACCAGGAAACTCCTTTTTAGATAGATCCTCCCAGGTAGGGGCCAGGTTTTTGCAGTGACCACACCTTAAATACACGAACACATATCGCGTGAGTCGCTGAATGACAGAGGATAAGCTCAGCCAATCAGGGAGTGGCGGGTCTTTTGATTAGCCACTAAGGAAACATTAAGATGATAAGAGGAACAGATAGGGGAGGGGAGTACACTGTGTGTGTGCGTGCACATGGATGTACACACAAACATGCGAGTCTGTCACTGCGCAGGGTTTGGCAATGTAGCTTAAAGGGGTCATTAAATGGAGAATCAAAATGTTTGTGATATTTATTACACATAAGACGTTACTGCTAGTTTCAAAATTAAAAACTAACACCCCAGTTTAAAAATATAAACTATTCTTCTCTACACTTCTAAAATGCCTGGATTTGAAATCCATCGATTTTTTTAAGTACTTTATATATATATATATATATATATATATACTGTATATATATATATACTGAAAAAGTGCACATCAGGTTCAATTTGACGCAGTGTTCAATTTGAAAAAAAAAATGCATTTCATGACCCCTTTAACAAAAATGTCTCAATAGTGTTGAGCTTTGACACTATCTGACGTATCTGAACATTTGAAAACAGCAATTGTGCAGTTTTAAAACTCAAAATGTTTAATAAACTAATGTTTAATAATAAATACATACAAACAAATCTAGTTACTTGAAAAAAATCTAAATGTACCTGTCAAGAAAAACAACAATGTATTTTTGAATAAACTGCATTTTGCAACTGCAACACTTAACACACAACTTAAAGGGGTCATATGATGCGATTTCAATTTTTCCTTTCTCTTTGGAGTGTTACAAGCTCTTGGTGCATAAAGAAGATCTGTAAAGTTGCAAACACTAAAGTCTCAAAACCAAAGAGATATTCTTTATAAAAGTTAAGAGTTAACCACACCTACCTAAAACGGCTCGTTCTAACACACCCCCACTACACAAAATAATGTTCTTTTTAGCAGCATCATATGACCCCTTTAAAGCCAATCAGAATAGAGTACTCAGACAGACTATGGTATAATCAAAAGTACATTCTCTCAAAAAAATAAAAATAAAAATAAAAGTCAAGACATTTTGCTTATCAGGAACTTTAGATATTTAAATGGAAAACAAAAACACTTACCAAGGTTCCATTTTTAAAGTATTTTAAAGTATTCACTCATCCCTATATATAACAGTTAGATCTGGTCCTCTAATTTTACTTCACAAATGACATGATAATTTTTCTGTAACTGCAGTAAATTTGTCACTTTTAACACTACAATTACTAACTAGAAATAAACTAAAATAAAAATAACTTAAAACTAAAGAGTCATATATATATATATATATATTAAACTGAACTGAAAATATAAAAGCAAATTCAGAATAATAAACACTATAATAGTATATATAAATAATACTAAAATGACTGATGATTAGGATTTTTATTACAAAAGACGATCACTGATTTTATAAATGAATTATATGTCATATCAGACAGCCCAACACTTCCATTAGATCATTGATAAAGTACCACTACCAGCCAAAATGTCAAATGAAACCCTACTAACACTTACCACGGGGCATAGAACTTGATGAAGGAGAGTCCTTTGGCAACAGTCTCATCAAAATTGCTCTCAGTCAAGACCAGAACTTTAGACTGAGAGAAAAAAAAAAAGTATTAGTTGCAGCACATTTTGGTTGCATGTAACTTTTATATCATGTTTCTTGTTAACTAATGTGTTATTTACACTAATAGCACAAAATGTGTCACGAGGCAGAACATACTCATAGTACAACCCCTAGAGAATCTGCTGAAGTTTAAATACCTCTCACTGGATGGTTTCCTTAATTACAACACCAGTTCTGAACATTTGTTTAAGAGCAAGGTCTCATCTCAAAGGTATCAGCAACGGTTTACAAGCTTTTAAAATTTTGCTCCAACTAAAAAAAAAATTTAAAAAAACAAGAACTCGGAAACAAAGCTCTTAAGGGACACTCTTTAGCCATGCAACAATTCCAGCCTGCCAAAATCCCTTTATAAAAGACAAGCTTAGACAGGAAAGCCAATTAACAAAGCAAAATAACAGCCCTTAAGTTCCCCGCCCATCCCTTCCACTCCAGCGCACGCACACATGCACATTTGCATCAGCAGGAGGAAATAGCTGCTCTGCCCATAATTACTACCTCAGTTTCAAGATGCAGATTTGTGTCTAAGGGCCCAAGTCTGCAGCTCGCTGTTCAAACATCTGCCCGCACACAAAAACGAATCAAATCTCTATGGTGCCAAGCAGGAAATTGAAAACAAAACCTGTATTGTGCAAAAACTAAAACAGACACACACCTCTTCTTTGTCAGGTTCAGCGCTGGGTGGGATTTCGTGAGCGTGCTCCTCCTCTTCCGCAGGTTCATCTTTAGATTCTGCAGCTTTCATGTGACTATCAACAAACTCTTTAAACGAATCCAGATCACGTTTTCCTCTGTACTGATCAATCTGAAAACATACAGCATGCGCACAGCTACCGTTACTGTTTAGTGTAAACACTATGATAACTAATGGACTTAGGTTAACATTCTTTATTCATGACATATAGTTACAGTCAGTGTTGGGGAAAGTTACTTTTAAAAGTAATGCATTACAATATTGTGTTACTCCCTAAAATAGTAACTAATTACGTTACTTAGTTACTTTTTATGAAAAGTAATGCGTTATATTACTTTTGTGTTACTTTCGCGTTACTTTTTAAATATAAGCAGGGCTTGATTGTTTTTAATATAAGAAGTTCTATTTATAGCAAATATAAAAGCCCTTTCACACCAAAAAGTGTAATGAATAAACCTCAGGCTGAAGCAAAAGTAAATTCACGTCTGTACAGTAGAACGCAGGAGAAGAAACACTCTTCAGCAATAAAAAAAACAAAGCACAATTGCTGGCATTACTTTTTTGAAAAAGTAACTCAGATATTTTCTTGTAAATTAAAAAGTAATGCGTTACTTTACTAGTTACTTGAAAAAAGTAATCTGATTACGTAACTCGCATTACCAGTTACCCCCAACACTGGTTACAGTTTGATTTGATTATATGGGATCATTACAGTTTTACAAGTGAAAAATAGTGCAGGAATTTCCTTCCATGGTTGTGAGGATGTAGGAAGCATAGAAAAAGTAACAGAATATCTGAAAATGAAAAAAAGGGTAACATCTGGGGTAATGTTTTTTTGTTTTTTTATTAAGTTTTATTCAATTTTTTTGTATTAAGTTTTATAAAAAAAGTTATTCAGCAAGGATGCATTAAATTGATCAAAAGGGACAGTAAAGCCTACATGCTCTTTTGATCTTTCGATTCATCAGTTTCCACAAAAAAAAATATTAATCAGTACAACTTGCAATATTGATGATTATAAATGTTTCTTGAGCACCAAATCAGCATATTAGAGTGATTTCTGAAGAATCACATGACACTGAAGAGTGGAGTACTGAAAATTCAGCTTTGCATGACAAGAATAAATTAGATTTTAACATATGGAAATGGAAAATATTAAGTTACTTTAAATTGCAGTTTCACAGCATTGGAGTTTTACTATATTTTTAATCAAATAAATGCAGCCTTGGTGTGCATAAGAGACTTCTTTAGCAAATCTTACCAACCTCAAACTTTTGAACAACAGCATGTATACACATTGATATTTATCTTAAGAAATTATTCCACTCTAGATATTCTTACCTTCCCTCCATCAGTGAAGAAGAGTAGCGTGGGGTAACCACGAACCTGATTATCTGAACACACCTCATAGTGCTGTGTGCAATCAACCTTTAGCAAGCAAAATATATAAATATCAGAAAACAGAAGTCAATTTACAATACAGAAAAAAACAAGAGAGAAACCACAATGGCCTCTCTCACCTTGCCGATCTTGATGGTGTCTGAATGCTCAAAGCTGGTGGCGAGCTGTTCCCATGTTGAAGCCATGGCTTTGCAGTGCCCACACCACGGTGCATAGAACTTCACAAAGTGAGAACCTGTAGAAGACAACTGCAGGGTTACAGCCTCAAAATGCAACAAGAATCCATGTCTCAAGTAGGATAACATGGACTACATAATGGCTTTAATCATAACTGATCAAAATGATCACAGATTACAGAAAATGTGGTGCTGCAGTGCAGACTGCACATTTATGCACGAAGAGAAGGAAATTTACAGTGTCATCTCACGGCTAAACTACTCCACAGTCATGCCACCCACAATGATGTTACAAGAAACATCACAAATTGTGTGAATTATGTGTACACAG